CAGTTAACCACACACGCTCCAGTAACGACCAATAAGGTGCAATGTGCAATTTCATGGGTTAACATCAAATTCACATTTTCCTAAAGTAACTAAGATTGTGAATTTATAAAAGGTTTAGTTACTTTATAATTCATTATACTTTTAATAAGGATTTAGTGTCCTATCCTACTCATTCGGCTAACAACCCTCCATTAGTCAAGAGTGCGGTAGGTAAGAGTGGATACCCACTAACGGTCATTTTACAGACTACTTCCTTAAACACCCCTTATAGACCAGCTTCGTGAATGAGGCATACTAAAATTGAAACTGACCTTTTCTTATACACACACACACATATATCTTAATTACCTTATAAAGCATTTTTGGTCAAATGCTGAATTTTAAGTCGTACAAACATACAATGCATTTGTACAATCAATTTATGCATTACAAAAAGAGTAGAGTACATATGATCAACAGTTGAAAATGTCAAATCTCTTATCCCCTATTCTTAGGTTATTTTGACCCGGTTCATTCCTTATCTCCGTATTTCCCCAACTCTCGCAATTTTTGTTCACAAATCTTGGATATATATCGCTGACATTTCCATTTCTAGGGTTTAATTCATCTTTCAGCATTGAACCACCATTGTCACACCCGTCGTTTGGCGCGGGTAAACGGCTAGTGTGTGTGTGTATATATATATATATATATATATATATATATATATATATATATATAAAATTAAACTTTGTATCTTATATAGTATAAGGGTGTATTTTTAAACTATTAAAAATAATAGGGTTTTACCATTAAAATTTCAAAAAATTAAAACTTTTAATATAAAATTCAAACTATAAAACTAAAAGGGTTTAATTTGAAACTTTTCAAAATCTAGGTTAAATCTTTGAATCAAAATAATCTTATATTATCCAAAATTAAGCAAATCCTTTCATTTTTATAAGGATATGAAGATACCAATCAGAAAATCAATTTTAGGCAATGAAAACGAATTATGGTTATCATCCGATTCAAAATTTGATCTGAAAATCGAATTTTTAGGTAACTGACGAGTCAACTCGGCGAGGTCATCATGGACTCGTCGAGTTCATGTGTCAGACAGCCAAAAATTCAATTTCTTGCTCTTTGGACAGTTCATTCTTGCACCAATTTAATTGAAAAGCATCCTAGGCTCTAATACTACTGATAAGTTTTGAGTATATCTACATTCCTATGTGATCATGCAAACCTAATTGCTTTGGATATAAGTTTTTCTCTAATGAACATACAAATATGAACACTAAAGCAATAACACTAGATCTAGTATATACAATTTCGAAATTCACATATATATTAGGGTTAGAAATTACCTCACTTGTTATATTGTAATAACAAGAACAATCATTGTTTGATCTTGACTTCTGAAAGCCGAGTGCCCCAAGTGTTGCACCTCTAATGGATTCATAAACACTCAATGCAAAGGATGGATATGAGAGATGAGAAATTCACCAGGGTTTGATCATACAAGCTTCGATCGGAAAATTCTATGTTAAGGGGGTTTATATAGCTGTGGCTACTAGGGTTTTCAGGTGGAAACCCTAATACATTGTTCAGGCACCAAGCAGCCCATAGACACTCCTTTTAGAAGCCCTTGGATGAAATCTACTGGGCCTCCCAATAGGATTTCGTCCACTCCATACCAAAGGAGTCTAGCAGCCCAAATTTGTAACTATCAATGATTTGCAAAACATTCCCTTTTAATCCCAAAATTAATATCAAATTAATTTTTTATTAATTACTAATTAATAATATTATTTCCAAATAATATATTAATCTTATAATATATTAATAAAATTATTCTGAGTACCAATTAATTATTCATATAATAAATCTTTATCTCTCTCTCTCTCTCTCTCTCTCTCTCTCTCTCTCCACTAGTCGTCCTATCAAGTCGCATGAGTGAAGGCAACCCAAAAGGATCATGCTACAAATCAAATCAAGTACATACCAATTATAGTTATGAGCTTAGATACCTAATCCAACAAAAATAACATCATCAAACTTTTGATGCAATTGTTCGGGTGTTTGTTTCAACCCATACAAAGATTTTACCAGTTTACATACCATATTCTCTTTACTGGACATAAAGAAACCTTCTGATTGTTTCATGTAAACTTATTCATCAAGTTCACCATTTAAAAAGGTTTTTTTAACATCCTTCTGATGGATAATCAGATTGTGGATACTTGTCAATGCAATTAACAATCTATTGGTAGAAATACACACAGCCGAAGCATACATATCAAAATACTTAACATCGGGTTTTTGCCTAAAACATTGAATGACCAAGCAGGCTTTGAACTTATCAATAGTCTTATTTACATTCATTTTCTTTTTGAATATCCATTTGCAACCAAATGGTTTAGAACCTGGAGACAAATCAGACAACACACAAGTATTGTTCTCAAGAGTTGATCACATTTCATCACTAATCGCCTCCTTCCAAAAGACAACTTCTCAAGACTCCATGGCCTCTTGATATGTCTTGGGATCATCCTCATTACTATAGCAATAAGAGTATTCAAGATAATTTCATCCCTTGAACCTTCCACCAAATATAGTTGGAAGTTGAAACGAAATCTTTTGTAATTCAGCTTCTTTTGTTTCTACAAAGCTCTTGTGTTTCTGGTACAAAAACATCATCTTGACTTTCTAGATTTTTCACTTCATTAGTGCCATAAGTCAGTTATCTAATGTCTCTTGACACTAAAATCACCAACAGAGCGCATATGTTAGCATAATAAATTATCTACGTTGATATTGTATTGGACTATTATTTAGCATTTTAGATTGATTAACTATCCATTGATATTGTATTGGACTATTATTTCGCATTTTAGATTGATTAACTTTAGATAGTTTTCTATTTATAGTAGTCTTTTTATTTGCAATTAACTTGTCATTTAATAATAAATCCTCGCCGCTATGTTTATCAATTTACACTTTGTTTCCATCTACTTGCCACCTACACTTCTATTTGAAACATATATGTCACTTATCTTGTAGCCAATCCTCTTTTCCGGCGGACGACTATGTAGGTAGAAGGGGGATTGCTAGAGCTTAATAGTCAAATTAGCATTGTGTTGGTAGTTAATTTTAGTTGACTCACAACCTCATTTATATTTCCATGTAAACGATAGTCAGTTATATTTAGAATATATATATATATATATATATATATATATATATATATATATATATATATATATATGAAAATCTTGGAAGTAAATCAAGTTAAGGATTGAAGTTTAAGAACCTTAGATGATTACAATGGAAATATAATACAAAACAATGTAGTATAATGTGGTTAGGTACGTAAGTTTATATAAGGTTGTTAGGTATATTCACTTTACCCATATATATATATGGGTAAAGTGAATATACCTAACAACCTTATATAAGCTTAAGTACCTAACCACGTCATACTACGTAATTTTGTATCATATTTGCATTGTAATCACCCAAAGTTCTTAAAATTCAACCTCATAACTTGTTTTCTTCGAAAATCTTTGGACTTTCTCCATTATCTTCCTTCAAATGACGTCTTTCTATCGGAGACCTCCTCGTGGGCTTCATGTACTACCGTTACAGATCAAATGGTGTAGGAAGAATATAATGGTGAATATCTGAAAATCTTGGAAGTAAATCAAGTTAAGGATTGAAGTTTAAGAACCTTAGACGATTACAATGGAAATATAATACAAAACAATGTAGTATAATGTGGTTAGGTACCTAGGCTTATATAAGGTTGTTAGGTATATTCACTTTACCGATATATATATATATATATATATATATATATATATATATATATATATCGGTAAAGTAAATATACCTAACAACCTTATATAAGCTTAGGTACCTAACCACATCATACTACGTAATTTTGTATCATATTTGCATTGTAATCACCCAAAGTTCTTAAAATTCAACCTCATAACTTGTTTTCTTCGAAAATCTTTGGACTTTCACTATTATCTTCCTTCAAATGACGTCTTTCTATCGGAGACCTCCTCGTGGGCTTCATGTACTACTGTTACAGATCAAATGGTGTAGGAAGAATATAATGGTGAATATCTGAAAATCTTGGAAGTAAATCAAGTTAAGGATTGAAGTTTAAGAACCTTAGACGATTACAATGGAAATATAATACAAAACAATGTAGTATAATGTGGTTAGGTACCTAAGCTTATATAAGGTTGTTAGGTATATTCACTTTACCCATATATATATATATATATGGGTAAAGTGAATATACCTAACAACCTTATATAAGCTTAGGTACCTAACCACATCATACTACGTAATTTTGTATCTTATTTGCATTGTAATCACCTAAAGTTCTTAAAATTCAACCTCATAACTTGTTTTCTTCGAAAATCTTTGGACTTTCACCATTATCTTCCTTCAAATGACGTCTTTCTATCGGAGACCTCCTCGTGGGCTTCATGTACTACCGTTACAGATCAAATGGTGTAGGAAGAATATAATGGTGAATATCTGAAAATCTTGGAAGTAAATCAAGTTAAGGATTGAAGTTTAAGAACCTTAGACGATTACAATGGAAATATAATACAAAACAATGTAGTATAATGTGGTTAGGTACCTAAGCTTATATAAGGTTGTTAAGTATATTCACTTTACCCTATATATATATATATATATATATATATATATATATATATATATATATATATATATATATATATATATATATATGTTGTATATATATGTTGTGGTTCATGTAGTGTTCAATTCATTCATTGAGATATAAAATATAGATTGTTTTTCATTTTTTTTCTGCTGGGCACTACTCAATTGATTTATTACATGATTGTTGTTATATCATATACTTTGAACATTAAAATGGTGTATTTTCCTTCTTTCTTGATGTTTATTTTTCATTAGATTCTTTAGTTTGACTCAAACATCAAATACATAATTGAAATTTCTTCATCAAATGCTAGTAAAATGATCTTCATAAAGTAAGTGATCATCGTACAATGTTCAAATTAATGATAATTTATATGACATTATGACCATGATTGCATTACATGATTGCGTTCTTGTGGACGAGTCCCTTGTCACATTCTTCTTATTGACACAACCACGTGAAACTCGATCGATTTGTGTTTCAAGAATGTGAAAGCGCTCGTATGTTAAGTGGCGAAATATCATTTAAATCTCCATCTAATAGACGTTTTGCTATGATGACATTCACACTGTCAGTAACATGATAAGAGTCCCAGAAAATGTACTTTGATCTATCTGGACAAATCTTAGCGTATGGCAAACATGGAAGTAAACCACCATGTGAGCCCAGCACGTGGCAACATGCACTATCTGCGATTTCAAAATCTACAACAAGAAAAAAGCAACTCGTTAGTGCTATAACCATGACTTACAAAAAACTATCAAAACAGATTCGAATAAAAAGAGAATACTTGTATTGTGTATGGTCAATGGTGAGTATAAGAAAGTTCCGACCACTTAGAAAAAACTACGAAAAAAGGCTATTTTTTTTCCTCTTCTCTACAATTACTCACCGTATGATTTATAGTTTTGGATGATATCGTCGACGATACCATACACATCTGCATAAACAAATGTCGATCCTTTGAGTGTGGCTGTAAGTTCTATGAGCATCCCTTTCAACAGCTGATTGAATTGTTGTGCTACGAGATTTTGAGAGGCTACACACTCTTTTCCAGTTGAAGGATTATAATCCCTTTCATATGGGATGCATCCAACAGGAGGAGCATTTGTAACGATAATCTTTCGAGCACCAAGATCATAAAGTTTCTGTACACAATAAATAAAACGGTCCAAGGTTAAGCAACTCGTATAACCTTACAACAAATATATAGTTGGATCGGATAAATATACCGTGAGTTGCCTTCTAAATGCTGAAATCAGGGTTTCAACGAAAGTTTCAGGTGGTGGTTGATTCTTGATCAGACTTGGTAGGAAGTAGTTATTGATAAAATCGTTTGAACTAGTTGTTACTTGGAAGAGAGCAGTAGCGAACAGCTTAAGTGATGCAGGAGCACCTATGCTTGAGATTATGTCGAGCCTGGTCTTCGCAAAGTTGTCCAGCTGTGCATCCATTGGGATTCTCCCAATCTTTAACAAAAGATAAAACACCAAGTTTAAATCCAGTAAGAAAAACCAGATAATGAAACTCTCACTGAGTAAAACTCGTGGAATTCGTAAGGAAACGCATTGCAGTATACAATAGACAAGGGACTTACATAGTTTGCTCCTGATTCGTCAAGGATTCCACTAGCACCAGAAGCATAATTGACGCCTTGTAGAACTACCGGTCCAACGGTGGTAGGAGCCAGGTATGGTGGAGGAAAATTTTTAAATCCCAATACTTGTCCTGTGGAAAGAAAAGTTAATAACAATTAAAGTATATATATAACGTATTTCTTAGTTAAAGAGAAACATTAAAGAAGAAAACATAAGTTGCCTAAAATGTCGGTAACAGTTCTTCCATTCGTAAATCGTCCTGTTGCCTTCCCAAAATCTACGCCTATGGGGTCATGATCAGCCTTGGCCAAAGATGGTATGTAGTTGTTGTTTCCCACATCCACCAAGGAATCACCAAAAACAAAAATTGCTGAGAAATTTTTAGCCATGCATGTTCTTCGATAAAGCATGACTATGAAGATTGTGGACAGCAACCACCAAAACGACATGGATCAAAGAAATAATTCCCTCCAAGAAAATTTAAAGTAGCAGTATAGTCATATACGGAGTTAAGAAATGAAACTCGATTATATCAAGAAAATTGTATATATACATAATGATGAAATCGTTGAAAGGTTAAAGTTTATGTGAGACTCATGCCCTTATGGATAGAGTGGATTTTGGACGGAATCGCCTTTTGAAAATACCATTTCTGTAGATACAAAAAGGTGGGTGGTTTAAAGAGTTAATGAGCAATACCGAAATTGGGAATCAATTAAAATTTATTTACATGGAAATTGAGGAGCTTGTAAAAGTTTAAAATTTAGTTCACAAAAGTAGTCCAACAGGTTAACTGCCCATGACACAATAAATGTTTTTGTTCAAATAAAATGTAAGTAGTTATTTTAATAATATGTCTTGTAATTTATATTGAATATGTTAATTATTTATTAAATTCAAAATATACACAAATTTGTGTGGATCAAGAACGGGCACATTTTTGCCCCATCCAAAACTTTACCCAGTTTATACCCAAACCCAGCACGTAAATACCTAAAAGGAATAGCCTAGAGGCTACGGTGCTTTGGTTTTGGATCATAAAAGGAGGTAGGCTACATCTTGAGGTATATGGATACCAACAACTAAAAATAAGTGAACGAAATATCCCATTAGCAACGTTTAATGCAAGATATGGGCACTACGAAATATAAATTATTAGTTATGTCATTTGGATTAACGAATTCTCCAACAACATTTATGGATTTATAGAACAAAATATGTAGATCTTAATTAGATATATTGATTACATTGTATGTGGATGGCATACTCGTATACTCAGAAATAGGGCAAGATGTACATTAACAACATTACAAGTTGTTCAAATATTAATAAAGGATGGTCAATTTCTTTGGTCCAAAAGGAAATAAAAATCTATGAACTATAGTCGTTTATATTTACATAGGGGTAGTGATATGTTGGTTAGAGTATCAGAAGTTCGTTAATCGTCTAGTTGAGTGCTCTAGGGTTGTATGCACTCACATAGGATAGCCTAAGAACTCTTGATCTAGGATTTCTTACATGTTCCTTGTTTGGTTGTGGCTCTAAAGTGGGATCACATGTTCGACTGTCTATCTCACATCTGATTATATATAACTATGCATTCATTAGCGATTTCCCAGTAGTGATGTAGAGTATTATGTGAGACCCGGTATGTGTTAGGGAGCTTTTAGGCAGGTTGACTAATGTAGATAGTTTTCCTGTGTTTACGACCATGTTTGCTGGTTGTTGTTATGTGTGTATCTGAGTTGCTGATAACACAAGGACGGCTGATAGTCTGTAGGGTTACTGATTGTAACGTCCCAAAAAGCCAGAACCAAAAAATCAATTTTTATATTATGAAAATCATCTACCAAACGTTTTTATCAAAACCATAATGAAATTATAGTATATCAATAATCATCAAAAATACATTAGAGTCAATAAAGCAAATGTAACGTCCCAAATATCACGACTAAAATTTTCTTTTTAAAACATTATTAAAACCATATTTATAAAAACCGTATCATAAATCATAACATAATTTCATAGCATTAATTCGAAATACAAACTTATTATCAGAGTAAAACATCCCAGGCTAGCTGACTATGGTGTGTGCACTGCAATCTTTCCGAGCTCCTCTTTTGAAAACTGAGTACCTGAAACCAAAAACTGAAACTGTAAGCACGAAGCTTAGTGAGCTCCCCCAAACTACCACATACCATACAATAATATATAAAGCACATACTTGGCCTTGCCCACTGCATCGGACCGAGGTCCGGACTAACTGGGGCCTTGCCCCCTGCATCGGACTGAAGTCCGGAAACTGACTGGGACCTTATCCCCTGCATCGGACCGAAGTCCGGACTAACTGGGGCCTTACCCCCTGCATCGGACTGAAGTCCGAAAACTGACTGGGACCTTGTCCCCTGCATCGGACCGAAGTCTGGACTAATTGGGGCCTTGCCCCCTGCATCGGACCGAAGTCCGGAAACTGACTGAACATAGCATAGCATAACATATCAACTAGCATGAACACATATACTACATACTGCATCGGGCCGTAGCCCGGAACACATAACACATAAATCCTGTCTGAGCCACGAAGGCATCAAACATACTAACTACTGCATCGGACCGAAGTCCGGAAACTACTGCTAACTGAACGGGTCGGCATTGTGGCCGTAGACCCGTTCCTACTGGAAGGAAACTCACTTGAACTGTTGAATTCTGCTGGTAACCCTCGGACTGCTAACCAACCACCATCTGAAACGCTGCTCCTCTAACTCTCCGAGCTACCAATAACAAAGCGACACTTAGCCTGACAGTCCTCTAAAAGTCAACTAACTCAACTCCGATCAAAGTCAAAGTCCTGGCCAAAGTCAACCTTCCATGTTGACCCTACTCGCCGAGTCAGCCTACTGACTCACCGAGTTAACTGATTTCCGAGTTCTGTCCTGTCCAACTCACTGAGTCCCCACTCAACTCACTAATTTGAGCCTTGACTCGAAGGGTTTGGGGTTTCGCGACTTGACTCGCCGAGTCCAAGGCAATCTTCAACAGACTCGTCGAGTTGTTCATCCAACTCGTCGAGTTCACCTCCATCTTCATACTACTCGTCGAGTTCACTCAAAGGACTCGCCGAGTCTATTCAGTCCTTAATCTATGCAGTGGCTTTTCGAGCCAAACAGGGCTTCCAACTCATAGATCCATACTTCTAAGGCCTATCCCTCACGTAAAGTGGCAAACTTTACGTGTAGATAAAGATATCTAGGCTTAAAACAATCCAAACTAGGGTTTAAGACAAAGAGGCTTCACTATCAACCCAAGAACAGATGCTTTATGACTTTCTAGGCCAAGATACACTCAGATCTGAAGTAGCAACTTCAGATCTGGGCTTCTAACTCGAAATAGTTCTTAAGCATGGCATAAAAGCCCCAAATCTCATAGCCAAGGTTGATCTATTAAACAAAAGAGGGAAGGTAACGATTTATTAGCTTTAAATGCTCAGAAATGTTCCACCAACTCTGGATTCAAGGCCCCCTTCTTGCTCCACTATGACTATCTTCTCTCTCAAGCTCCAAAAAGCTTCACCAAGGGTAGATCTTGCTCCAAAACGATTATGGCGGCTAGGGTTTAGTGTTCTGTGTTAGAGAGGCAGTAAAGGAACCCTAGGGGAGAGAATGAGACATTTAAATAGGCTCCAAGTCCCGGATTTAGGGTTTTCCTCGCTCAGACCAGACTCGCCGAGTCACCTTAGCCGACTCGCTGAGTCGGTCGCTTACTCCTCGACCCGGATCCCGCTCGGACTCGCCAAGTCCCTCATTGGACTCGCCGAGTCTCCCCTTAAAATTGGGGTTTTTCTTTCTTTTCTTGGCTTTCCAAACTTTGGGTGTTACAGCAAAAAATCATGGTGTATCCAATATTATCATCCTAATCCCTTAACCCTCGAACCACAATTACCAAAAATATAAACTGAAAACTGTAAGCATAAAGCTTAGTGAGTTCTCCAAAACACCTCATACCATACATACAATGGGCCTTGCCCAAAAACCATCGGGACCCACCCAACATCGAGCCCCACCGGAACAGATTTGTTCGTATCATGCGATGGGTCCCGCCCAACACAGTCATCAGGCCCTGCCTGGCATCGATCCCCACCCGGTATACATACTAACACATACAACACATGAAAGAGTCACACAGTCATCTAGCATAAAAATAACAATAATGCATGGGCTGGTATTGGTGCCTTCGACCAGCTAAACACTGTAAGGATAATCACCTCAATCTGTTGAAAAATCAGATAAAGGCTCGGGTTGCTAATATGGAAAATCCTCGAACTAAATATGATCAAATAATACCCTAAATAATAATTACGTCATAAACCATAACCGAGAGCCCAATTCCATAATCTCAACTCTGTAAAAGATCATTATACCCCTCAATGCTAAGCCCATTCAATCAAGGACCAAACCCTCAAAATGGCACAAAAAACATCCTAGGCCTATAGTAGGTAGTACACCTCGTGTGCCTAACCTGTATGTCCCACGTACTCTTGTTGACTGCAAACGGGCCTCACACCCAATACGTGCAATGTACTAAGAAGTACACTCAACGTACTGGGCAGAGTCCCAATCCTTAAGAAAAGGTCTTAATCCTTAAAGACCTTAACGTCCAAACCTTAGATCGATGTCTAAATGAGGTCTTAATTAATAAAGTTGGAAACTTTACTCCTTTGCATATATTAATGGGACCCGAAACCCTTTTTTATCCATCTAAGTCCATAATATGAACACCAACTCTAGCATGGTTCATCAAAACGTATCAAGATGATAGTTTTATGCAGTAACAACATTTGTAAATGCTAAGATCTAACATTCTAAACTCCTGAAGTAGTTGAAACTCACAAGGATGACTCAAGGGACCATAATATGTCCAAAACAAAGCCCTAGACTATATCTAACACATAGAGTCATCAAGATAGAAACTTTATACCTTTAGATGCTAACAAAATTGATGAAGACTCTGTATCTATGAGCTCCACTCCAACCAATGCTGGAACACCAATCTCCTTCTTCTTCAAAGTGTGCAAAAGCACCGAAAGTTAACCACCAAAACTCAAGAACAAGCTAGGTTATCGTATGGAATCTTTAGAGGGAAGGATGCTAATGAGTGGGCGGCCTCAATCCCCATAATGATGCTTAAATTGGGTCCAAACCCTATAAATTAGGGTTTTTACCTTGACTACATACGTGCGTACCAAACGTACGCCCATTATTCACACCCCTACACTAAAATTTCACTTTTCACCACTTAGGACCAAATTTAAAAACTATATTAATATAAATGGTCATAATGAGAAATATCTTGGAATCAGGTGTTACAACTCTTCCCCACTTGAATTAGACTTTGTCCTCGATGTCTGCTGCCACAAACTGTTAGATTTTCTAAGCATCAAATACACTCTAAACTAGGTAGCGGAAAAATCAAAACAAAAACGATATACCTAAGTGTACATGTAACTTATGGATCTATGGTTTCATATAATTACAACTACCCTAAGAAAATCGAAAAACAAAGGACGAATTACATACCTCTTCTGCAGCCAAAGATCTTCGCGCTTAACTACTCGTGTGTGCCACCTTGTTTGGATGATAAGGACCCAAACTAGAATCC